ATTCGTAATCAGCACAAAAAATAATAATAAGTATTGTTAAATAGCCAATACCCGCATATTCGCGGTGCCTTTAAACACCTTTCGAACTGTAAAACATCAAATTTCAAACAAATCGGACCATAAATAAGATTTTTTCCAATATATCCGTATCTGGTCCACCTATCAGAAAAAATATCCTATATGTTAACCCAGGCAATAAGCTATCTACGTGCCGAATTTCAAGCAAATCGGACCATAAATAAGATTTTTTCCAATATATCCGTATCTGGTCCACCTATCAGAAAAAATATCCTATATGTTAACCCAGGCAATAAGCTATCTACGTGCCGAATTTCAAGCAAATCGGACCATAACAAAGATTTTTGCGAATAGATTGGTCCCTGGTCCACCTCTCAGAAAAAAGTATTCATATGTTAATCCAGGCAATAAGCTACCTACTTGCCAAATTTCAAGCAAGTGGCACCATAAATAATATTTTTACGAATAGATCGGTCCCTGGCCTACTTAACGGAAAAAATTGATCCTATATGGGTATTTCCATACGTCGCATACGTGACCGTCGTCCGTTTCAATGTGATACAAACAAGGAATTCCATTTGTTTTCTTTAACTTTTTTGGGCCATTGTATAGCACATAATTAGCTCTATATTTAACCGAAAAATGAAAACAATCGAACTGATTGGTCCTGAAATATAAGCATTTAAAGATAGTGTCGTTACGTGACAAAAAACGGAAGTAGATTTTTTCTTTTCATACAAAATCGCAAAACTGTGCGAATTGTGGATGGCTATTTTCATGAAACTTATTTTAATATGATTTGGAACAATTCTTGTTACTTTTAGAGTTTTTTGAATTAATGCAACTTGTTTCAATATTCTTTTACAACCCCAAGTATGAAACGTCACGTGACGTAGCGTCACGTGACATAAATTTCCATCGTTATATTTTTTTTAATATTGCTTTTAAATGAATTTTTAACGCAAATAAAACATGTATTTTATGTAGAACATACTTTATATTTTGACTTCAGCGCCAATTCAGGGTGAATTTGTTGGAAATCTATGATATATTATGTTTCAACTACATACGCCAAATTCGAACCAAATCGGACCATAAATACGGTTCTTCGAAATATCTCGACCTTGGCGCCACCTAGGAAGACCATTTTACGCAAACATGATTTTACTTTTATATCCAGTATATATTTTAAAAAGCAGACAAATCGGCCCGTAAATACGTTAGATATAAGACTTTTATTTTTTTTTGTCCTTCCGATGGAAACACCCATATGGGTTTTATATCTAACGTATTTACGGGCCGATTTGTCTGCTTTTTAAAATATATACTGGCTATGTAAGTAGAATCATCTTTGCATAAAATGGTCTTCCTAGGTGGCGCCAAGGTCGAGATATTTCGAAAAACCGTATTTATGGTCCGATTTGGTTCGAATTTGGCGTATGTGGTTGAAACATAATAAATCATAGATTTCCAATAAATTGACCCTGAATTGGCGCTGAAGTCAAAATATAAAGTATATTCTACATAAAATACATGTTTTATTTGCGTTGAAAATTAATTTAAAAGCAATATTAACAAAAATATAACGATGGAAATTTATGTCACGTGACGCCACGTCACGTCACGTTTCACACTTGGGGTTGTAAAAGAGAATTGAAACAATTTGCATTAATTCAAAAAACTCTAAAAACAACTAGAATTGCTCCAAATCATATTAAAATAAGTTTCATGAAAATA